ACATTAAAATAAAACTGATTTTGAGCATATCCCTGCCTATAACTATAAGGAATCGAATTTTCTTCTAAAATTCGTTAGCCTGGCAGAACTGGACGATTTTGTTCCAATCCTCGTTGCTATTCGACTTGGGGTTCTTCAATGGGTCTTCGATAGACTGGGTTTCTCGATTTCTTGAGAGCCACTCCACATCCAACACCTTCACTCGCGAATCACAACAGTTTTATTGTTCGATATCTGGTTAATCGTAGAGACGAAAATCGAGCACGTTCGATACGCGACAATTCCAGATATCCTACTGACTGCGCCAAAAATAAACTTTCAAATTGAAAATAGCTTTTTAAAAAATTTAATTATTTTTTCTATGTTAAAATTCTACAACTACGATCTGTACTACAAGAAATATAAATGTATAATGATGTTAAAAATGAGAAAACTAGATAAAATGCATAAAGTCCTAATCAGCGGTTTCCTAGAAACTGGTAACTCTGATAACGCCGACATCTGCAGGATCTGTTACTAGGGCTGATGTAATTTCCACCACGTAAACCCCTATCTTTTCTAAATACGTTAAATTCAGGAATATTAATAGAATTACTGGTTATCTGAGGGCTAAGCCAGGTTTCTGATAAAGCAAAAACATCATAGTTTTCTTTTACAATTAAATTTCTTACAAAATCAATTTTAGGTAGTAGTGAACGAATATTCAAATGAGCAATTTTTAATCGTTTATAAGAGGAGTATTTACTTGGCTGTAGAGCGGAGCATGCAAAGTTTATTTTTGACTTATTCTGAAAGAAAAAAATATGTACATATGTACATATAAGGATAAATCTATGCTCCTCTGGAGACACTTTTTAAAAATTTGAAACTGTTTTTCTAAAAAAAAATACAAAACTCGACTTTTTTTACTCATTTTCTCAATTTTTTTTAGAAAAAACTAAATTGAATTTTGAAAAACTGGTTCCAGAGGAGCATAGATTTAACCTTTACCTACACGTACATATTTTTTTCTTTTAAAAACTTTCGTCTGGAAAGTGGCGCCTCTGTTAGATTTTTAAGAAATTAATATTTGTGAATGAAAACAATTTATAATATATTTTACTGATGTTTTACGAGGGATGAATAAATTTTACGTATTTGTACACCTTATTTTTTACGTAATTTATTTCTTTAATACTAAGATTGGTATATATATATATTATACGCAAGGGTTTCATAATTCATAGTACACCAATTTTACGGATTATTTTTTAATTTTACTTAAAGAAATTTTATGTAAGTACAGGTAAAGGCTTAGCCCATACCTCTCTGGAGTCACTTTAAAAATATGAATCAGTCTCTTTTGAAAAAAATCTAAGAAAAGAAACGAAAAGAAATAGAAATGTTAAAAAATGCTAGAAGAGAACAATATATTTAATTTTTGCCTACAGGAGCATTTATTTTTATTACAATAAAAATAGAAATACGTTAATAGTAGTTTTTCTACAAGCGTGCGAGAAGATGATCTTCTCGCACTCTTTCGGGTGCGAGAAGTTTATCTTCTCGCACGCAGAGAAATATAAATTGAAAAAAAAGCAAGGTATACTTACCGCCGAGGCCCGGGTTTGAACCTAAGATCTTTGTTATGAGCCCAAAACCCTAACCACTACACCAATTCAGCACATAACATCGGTTCAATATATGTATACTTAAACTGTATGTTGTACCTAATGTCATTATACAGGTTAATTCTCTATTTTAGAAATAAATGCGCTTGTAGAAAAAATGTTGATCGTAACACGTGCTAGAAGCACTTGTGGCGATAACTACTATATAGAAATATACAGTAGAGAAATAACTTTTTGGAAAAAGGACAATACCATTAAGGAGGAGGAATAAAAGTGGAGAAAATATCTCATAATGACAGCTTTTGGGAAGAAAAGATACAAAATAAAATTAAAAATTTTTATATGCAATATGCCTTGCCGGAACTTGTTGACAGCGAAGCTAATAGAGACATGGAAGTACGAGACAGAATACTAAATAATCGTAAGAAGTTTTGTTTAATGTTTATTAACATAACACAAGGAATCTTAAATTATTTTGAATATTTTTATTAATTTAAGAATTACATTTTATTTATTTCTAAAACATGGTAGTAGGCGATCCATTTAAGATATAATTAATGTCTTATTATTATAGTACACTAGTTTAAATTTAGGATTTTACCAGTGGCAGTGGTAATTGATGATATATAATTATTTTTATACCAAATGTTTTAAAAGGCTAGCTACACCAACTAGTGGACCACGCTTTTAATTCCCCAAATAATAGTTTCAAGATTTTAATTCGGATTAGAAGTTTTGTGTCAGAGCCAAGTCATGTATTTATATTGTAATACGTAGATGAGTAACTATCATCAATAGAAATTGAAAATTCACACATGAATCTTTGTAACGACGTTATTTATAACTTTATTAACTTCATAACGGTCAAAAATGTTAGTTAACTTATTTAATTTTAAATATAAATTTTCATTTTAACTTAGAAATTTTTGAAAAGTTCACTATATTGTTTAGTTAATGCAACTTTACTGCGCTTAAGTTGCGTTCAGATTAAAATATGAATTGATTTAAGGAGCTTAACTGAAAAACAGGAACTAATGCTTTCATTCCAAAAAAAGTATTATGTTCAATAAAAAGAATTTCGAACTGTGATATCTGCAAGTCCTTATTTAAAACCTTTAAATTTAAAATTATGATTTTACAAGAGTTTTCTTTACAAATTGATAGAAATATCTAACATAAGTTTATTGACGTAAACATTATTTCCATAATACAAATAAATATATCTCTGTTTAAGAATACTCATAATTTATTTAATATATTCATTTAAACATGTTTTTGTTTTTTGTCTGGATGATATTGAATACTAACTTTTTCTATGTAACTTCGTATACCCGAGACATTGTGAGATAAAAAAAACAGACAATTTATTAAAAGCGTACTCACAATTTTTCAGGTATAAAAGTTTCAATGCTATACTGTTTCCCAAATTATGAAAATAATAAATAATATTAAAAAAAAATAAATGAAAATCCAATTAAAGAATGTGTTAATATCTACAGAAGAACATCGTATTTCTTTTTTGGAAACAAAGAGTAGTCGAAAATTGTGAAAAACAACATATTTTTATTTCACAAAAATAATAAGTCAGTTTTTGTTTTTTATGTAAATCATATCATTTTCAAGGCAATAAAACAGAAGAAAAGTCACCGAATACCGATTTCAGAAAGGTCTATTAGTTTTTATAGGAAATGGAAAGAGAAAGAACGCTCTTTAATCAAGTTAAAATTCTTTACTAATTTCGCTGTTTCTCTTTGACGATGTCCGGTCTCCGTCTTGTTTAAAATCAATAACTATAAACAAATTAAGGTATTTTGTACCGTGTTAAAAAATCTAAGAAAAATTTTGAAGAATTTTTCTCCTTTTAAAAAAAGATAGTAAACTTTGACAAACATATACAATATTCTAAAAGATAAATCACATTTATGTGATTATACAAAAATATTATTTATTTTTCTAAAATAATATGGATTGTCTTTTAAAATATATATAGTGGCTCGCAAAAATTCTGCTTTTTATATGTTACTTTTTTCAGAAAATGTTATTCCTGATAAAACTTAGTGTTTAATTAAACCAGAACTTCATTTATTCAAAAAATTATGTATTATAAATATAAATTTCGCTGCACAGTGAACTAGGTACTCTTCTGGAACCGAACCCACATTTTTACATACATAAGATTAATTTAAGAAGATGTATACAACTCCATATAGTTGTTTTTTAGTTAATACAATTAATATAGATTATTATATCCTTTTTAACCTACTTTAAAAAAGGAGGAGGTTCTCAATTCGTCTGTATATATTTTTTTATGTATATTTAGCGATAATTCTTTAACACAATGTCCGATTTAAATGATTCTTTTTTTGCTGGAAAGAGGATACTTATGGGATGGTCCCTTTTAATTTTGGTCAAAATCTAATAATTGGGTCCATGAGAAAATCCTCAAACTTTTCATTTTTTATGTAGGTTTAGTGATAATTCTTTACCACCTTGTCCGATTTCTATAATTATTTTCGTTAGGAAGGGGGTACCTCAGGGGTGGTCCCATATAAATTTGTTTAAGATGTGGTGATGGAATCTGCACGATTTTAAAGTCGTTTTTTTAAAATTACTTTTAATACTTGTTACGTAAATTAAAAGTTTAATAATTTGGTGCTTTCTTGATGCGTCGTTTTATGATTTCACTTTGTATACGTTTAAGTACAGATAATTATTATTACTGGCAGTTTATTTTAAATCATTAAAATAATATTTTGGTAATCCAACAAAGGCAAGCAATAAAGCCATGCCACATTCAGTGTAATAATAAAAATTAGATATATAAATATAGTATATTATGTACCAACAGACTAAACTTTACTTTCAATCCCGCCTTTTTGTCGTAAAAGACTTCTAAATTTTTACTAGTGACGTCCGTACCGGGTTTGAACTGAATATTGTTTAACAAAAATATGCTACGCCACTGCTTTTTCTAAAAACCAAAATTATCTTTAAAATCCTTATTTATTTTGGAGCAAATTTGGTTTATAGACGTACTTTCGTACGACGCACCCTTTTCGCGTAAGAAAATAAAAACCAGTTTATTGAAACTGCTTTTGATATTTTGTTGAAATTTGGTAGGAACCCATCATGAGTGGAAACACTTTTTTTTGGGCAAAATTTCATAAAAATATCTAGAGTGATAAGAAACTTTTGATAAAAAAGTTAGTTTTTTCTTAAAACTTTTACATCCAAGGATTCACACCCGTAGAGACCCAATTAATTCCACCAAATAAAAAGAAAGAACACATTACCAAAAATAAAACTATTAAATAAACTAAAATGAGTTTTTTTACTAAAATAAAACAAGTTTGTATCTGTACCAGTATTGTCTACTAAAAACTAAAACTTATTTGTTCCTATTTCTTAGCTTACGCTGGTTCCAAGGGCTATAAATGATCCTGCGATTTTTATCTTTTAGTATTGTCTTTTGTTCTTTTTATTGTGGGGCTGTTCGTTTTCTGCTTCCTCCTCTTCTTCCTCTCCAGGTGAATAATTATCTTCAGATGCCAATTCCTCCAAATTTCTTAAATCATCAAGAGTAAAAAACTTTCCATCAATTTCTAATTTATTTCCTCTAATTCTAGCTTGATGATTTTGTCTTTTAGCATTTCGAAGGTGAACTTTCAAAACTCGTTGGACTTTCCTATCTTCATAAGGCATATCATTTGCAATAGCTACACCCGAATTTTTCAGTTTTGCCGTATTCTTAAAAAGCTCCTGTTTTTTTAGATATGAAGTTATTTCCAAAATAATGTGCTGTTTGTTTTGTTTTTGGCCTCCAATGTAAATATTATTTATATCGTTTTTGGAAACTATTGGTCCAAAAATATTATTCAGTAAATCTAAAGTATTATTTAGTAGATTGGATTCATCAACTTTTAAACCAAAGATAATTACGTTATTACGTCTGCATTTCCGTTCTAGTACTAGGAGTTTGTCTTGGAGCATACAAACTTTCGTATCAACAGTTTCGGCTTTTTTAGACAAATCCTGTATATTTGTATTAATTTCTGACATGAGTACTTCTGTTTGATCCTTAATGGCTTTTATTAACAAATCGTATAGCTGAGAGTTCGATAGATCGTTTGAAATATTGCCAGGCGGCATGTTAGCTGCTATTTCAACCGTGGTGGAATAGACAAATAACAATATCTTCGCATTTAATACACAAGTTTAGCAAAAACCAGTTTTGACGAAATTTGCCAAATTCGACTTTATTGAACATTTGCATGCATTTTTCTGCAGTTTATGATGTTAATTTAAAATTTACTTACAGATTTCTTTAGCAGTATTTTGGTTTCACATACGTACATTCACTGTAAAAATTGCACTTAGTTTGGTTAAGTTTTTATCTCTTAATTTTTGGGATTTATTGAGGAGCAGATAGTAACGTGTGTACCAGAGCTGGGGAGGATTCGAATCACATAGGATTCGAATCCAGGATTCGAATCCTTTTTGAGGATCCGAGAGCGGGATTCGAATACTTTAGAAAAAAAGGATCCGTGATCCGGATTCGCAGAGAAAATCCTAAAGGATTCGTATTCGAATCATCAATATCAGTCTCGGATCCTTTAAGAGACCAAACTACGCCGACGCGAACGGCCGACTTAAGCTTTGACTTGTCGCGAATTGTAAACTAAAAACTAAAACAGACTGAAACTGAATAGAAAACCGATGTATTTGGCGTTGTGCACGATTACAGAATTAACAAATCAAAAAAGGAGGAGGTTCTCAATTCGTCGCGATATTTTTTTTATGTATGTTCAGCGATAATTCTTTAACACGGTGTCTTATTTCAATGATTCTTTTTTGTTAGAAAGGGGGTACTTCAGGGGTGGTTCCATATAAATTTGGTCAAAATCTAATAATTGGGTCCATGACAAAATCCTCAAACTCTTCATTTCTTATGTATGTTTAGCGATAATGCTTTACCACCTTGTCCGATTCATATGATTCTTTTTTTGTTAGTAAGGGGGTACCTCAGGGCTGCCGTCCTATGAAAGACCCTCCCCCCGTATCTACAGAAAACATTATTTCGAGAAAAACGCAGTTTAAAATGTTTTGTTTGGGCGCAAAGCTATATACGGGGAAATAATTGTCTATGATAAAATTAGGAAATAATTATCATATACATAAATAATTGGATAATTGCAAATAAGTAAAGTCCTTTTTAGCTAAATGATTTTAGATTTTAGTTATATTTAAATTAATAAAATCTTAAAATATTTGTCCTTGTTTAGTTAATATCCATTGTTGCAATTTAGATCTATAAAGAACTATCGAATTTAGGTTTTTACATTCCACCGGAAGTGCGTTAAATATTTTAGGACCGAGGTATAAAACAGTATTAGATTCGAAAGCAAATATAATTAATATCACAGTATAACACTGACAGTGATTCGTATCCGTGATCCGAAAAAAAGGATTCGAATCACTTGATTCAAATCCTTTTTTTTTTTTAAGGATTCGAACATTGGATCCGTGATTCGAATCACATCTCGTGATTCGGATTCGTGATTCGAATCCATTTTTCGAGGATTCGTCCCAGCTCTGGTGTGTACACTGTGAAAGCACTTTGAAAGCTCCACTATCAATGAAAACTGTTTGTCATAATGATAGTTGAAAATTAAAAGTATCAGATTAGTAGTGATGCCGCGAGACGAGAAATTCTCGTCTCTCGTCTTGTCTTGTCTCATCTTGTCTCGTCTCGTACGAGACGAGAGAGACATTTTCTCTCGAAAAAAGATTCGAAACAAGACGAGAGAGTGTCATCTCTCGACGAGAATTTATCGTCTCTCGAGCTCTCTCGTGCAATTTACTTTAGTTTATTTAAAAATTTTAATTGCATAATATTTATACATATCAGTTTTCCAGATAGTCAAAAGTTAACTATAATCCACGTACTCTATATCTATTTATAAAATGGTAACAAATAATACATGTGTAATTGGAATTTTATCAATAGTGATTTATAAGAAAAATTATTTTCCATATTATTTATTTAAAATTAATTTTAATTGGAAGCTGGAAAAAGTTTTTTATCTACTTAAAATTAAAATTTCAAACTAAAAAGGTTTCATCGTGATTCCAGTCAATAATAAGTGTGTATTAGAAATTATTGCATTTTATCTATCCAACAAAAAGGAGCGTGATAATTTTCATTTAGTCAAATTTTTCTGAGATTATTTTTGCAGATAAATTGGAAAGGCAGAAATTCTTAAGTGTTCTCGAAAAATTGTCATTGCTTTTATTTGATTTTATCAAAAAAATTATTAATTCCAATTAAAATAAATAAATAACATATATTTTGATTTGAAAAGAAAACTAAAAAAGTACTGATCATCTGGATCAACCAAATCCGTACTTTACCCTGTTTTGTCACAAAATAATCGAGAAATTCAACTGTTTACTGCGTCCTTTGAAGTAAACTATTGCGAATTTGAATTGCCCATTTATTCACCAGACTGAGTGTGTATGTATGTAAGGTAGTGGAGGGTAATAAGGCCCACCTAAGTTAAAAAATTCATTTTTTTAAAAAATAAAAAAAAATTCTCATTGCAATCAGGTAACAAAAACATAAGCATGTTTCCTCAAGTTTCAATCAATAAAACTAAAAAAAATTCAAAAGTGAAAAAGAAAATAATTTTTTTAAGAATATATCAACTGGGCCTTATTTTCAGCACAGTAACAAAACCAGAAATCAATTTTTGTTTTGGATTTTTCCTCTTGACAAGAATTTTGGGATGTTTGCTTTTCTGTCTGAAATAAGTTTTTAGTGACGTGTTGTGTTTTGTAATTAAGAGCCTTTCTTCTAACTTGAGAATTTTTGGCGGCACCTCGGGGGTTTTTAAAACTTCTTTAAAAAAAATTTTTCACAACTTGGCAATTTATCTGCCTTCTTATTGGGTTGTGAGTATAAGGAACAAGAACGTGTTTTCGGTTGTTTTTGAAGGTTTAATGGTCCTGGTACTGGACTGTTCGGATGGCGAGGTGGTACTAACGTTTCAGAACAAGGATGTGGGGTCGTCAGTTGCTTTTGAGTACCTGATGGTCCAGGTATTGGACTGTCCGGCTGTCGAGGTGGTACTATTTCAGAACAAGAATGTGTGGCCATCAGTTGCTTTTGAGTGTCTGATGGTCCAGGTACTGGTTCAGTATTTTTATTGATTTCAGTCTTTTTCGATATACATTTCAATCTTAAATCACTAAGGGGTAAATCGTTGTCATTAGAAAATGAGTCTTGTTCTGCAGCTCTTCTTGAAAGCGTCGATGGTGCGAAGGCTTCATCAGCTATGGCATTTGGGTTAAATGGGAAAATTCCTGTAGCCCCAAAACTACTTGTTATGTTCGCTACATTCATGAATTTTTCCCAAATCGGTGTAAAGACATCAGAGAATCTGTCCTTATTTAAACGACGGTCTGGATGCTGGTCCCAATATGTTAGTAGCTGATCGTCCCAATAATGTTCAAACGATCGGAATACAGCCTTGTCGAGAGGCTGTAGTTCGTGAGTCGTGTTACTAGGGAGGCAAAGTAACTCAACATCAATTTCTTCGGCTTTGAAGGCTATTGAAATGTCTAAATGGCACTTTGCCCCATCAAATATAAGTAGCACCATTCCAGGTGGTTTCTATTTTCCAAAGTGGCCCAACCACTCACAGAATAGCTTTGTGGTCATGCTCCCTGTGGAACTTATTAAGACTTCCGATTGGCATGTTACCTATTTAGGTAATGTATTTACATTGGCTTCGTGCGAGATCTTTTAAATAAAATCATTTGTGGAATACAGTTTCCCAATGCATTAACACAGGCTACAATGGTCACGTTTTCGCCATGTTCTTGTGAAACTAGATGCACCCTCTTCGTCCCTTTTAATATAAGAACAGACTGCCGGTGATGTAATGTTAGCCTGCAGCCCTTTTTGTCCATGTTGTAAATTCGGTCAGGAGAATATTTTAAATCAAACTGTTGTAATGTCGCATCCAAAACTTTAAAATAATGTTTTACTACAGGGCGGTTTAATTTTGTAGATCTGGCTGGATTCATTGATTGTGCTTTTCGTTTGCTAATACGTGGGTGGCGTTTAAGAAATGCGGAGTGCCAGACTTTGCCAATTATATTTTTATTGTTTTTCTGTTGGAACAGATCAATTCGATTAGCTTTAATACAACTTATAAACACTTCTCAGAACTTTTGGTGTAAGAGGAAGGCCAATTTGTGCCAGACGAATAATTCTTTGTTCTAGTTCGGATTCTTGGTTTTCTGTTAAAATAGGTTTACGCCCTAGTGTCCTACTTATAACACCATTTTTTAAATGATTTCTTAAAGTACGACGAGGAATACCTATTTGCTGTTCTACAGCTCTTTGAGAATGTCCTTGTCGTAAAAGCCTAAGTGCGTCCTCCATCATCTGTCTATCCCAGTTGGCACGTAAACCTCAGCACTTGTACTTGTCCATCTAAAACAAAAAACCTCTTAAAATAAATCCCACGTTAAATCACTGAAAATAAGGCCCGGGCCTTATTTCCAGAGGTGAAAAAAATAGGAAACTCTAAAAAATAACTGCTGAAACGCAAAACTCATTCTAAGATTAAATTCCATGGAATCGAAAGCTTACTAAACTTGCTTTTGTATAGAATAAAAATCATTTCTATATATGCCCTGGGTTACGCAAAAATATTAACTTACCTTTTATATTTGCTTGTAATGAAATCGTAAAATACCAATTCGCACAAGGTTACAGAGAAAAACAAAACGCACGTGCTTTCACGTAGATGTAACTCAAAAAAAAAAACATTTAAGAAAATATCCTGGAAAGCTATAAGACAAACTAAAACCATAGGAAAAATAATAAAAGACGAAACAGATAGTTACATGTACCTCGGTGTTCTCATTACAAATAGATGCGAAGAACAAGCTGAAATAGATCTCCGTCTATCAAAGAGCAACAGATGCGCAGGAGCTTTACATACCTAATTTATTAAAATCTAAAGAATTGTCATGGGAAATAAAGAAATGTGTGTACAAACTAATAACCTGACCTACAATAATATATGGCAGTGAGACATGGACACTAAATAAAAAAGAACAGACCAAGATTGAAATAT